AAATATCTGCAAGCGGACCGCAAAAAATCAGCGGACTATCCGGTGCCCGCTTGCTTATAAAACGTGTGACCGCCTACCCCCGGCGATTATCTGAGCGTAAACACCGGCAAAAGTCGTCCGAAACAGGGACGAATGGAGGCATCACTAATACCCGCTCGTGCAACGCGACGATCGACGGGAAGCAGGTTAAGGTGATTTTTCTGGTCAAAACATTTGATTAACTTACAGCTTTATCGGCGAGACCAAGTTTTGGTTCTGGTAATGTTGTATTGCATCCTGATTCCCCATATTGATGAACCTGCAAAATAATGCTTAGTGCACGTCTTTTCTTAGGCATTATTCTCGAAGCTTACCCAAACATTAAAGTAGTGTCGGTGATCCCATATGTAGCTGCTGTACTCAAGTCGGAATTTGATCATATCTGAGCAATTGAAGTCTTCGCCTTTGGGTTCGCCTATGCATTCGATATAGTCAGACCCAGGTTCCATTGAGTCTGGATACCTAAAAAACTGTATCTTCTACTAATCGGAACTTAAAGCAGGTTCAATTACATAAAATTCTTTTATCCTTTACTTTAATTTATCAAGCACGTAGAATCTTTTTCATGCAACATTCAGCGAATAGGCCAAGCTCAGACAAGTTACCGAAACGCAGCACTCACAACAACACAACTTCGCAGAAACGATGTGAAGTCGCACGACTCATGTGACATCACCGCAGTGCGGCCATACCTTGCTTCACAGTGGACGAATTTCCAATTTAAGAGCACCATTCGAATCAGCTCTGCGCGGCGCATCTTCTTTCAAAGAAGAGCTTGTTCAGACATAGTAAGAGGCCAGATTCCACGAGTTAAAATTTTTACTTATGGTAGGTTTTTCAGCGTGCTTATTCACTGCACTCACAGGGCAATCTACCGTGAAAAAACTTGAAACGATTCGAGGATTCGGCTTTTTGCTGTGTCTGTCTGTCTGTGTATATCAGAAGATGCGCTGCGCCGATCTGAGTCGAATGGTGCCCTTAGATTGATTCGTCCTCTCTGAAGCAAGATACGGCCACACTACGGTGATGGCACATAAGTCGCGCGACTTCGCGTGTTTTTTTTTTCAAAAATACGTGCGATATTGTATTTTTCGCTCTATTGAGCCATAGTTTTTGTAAAAATCCTTTCGAGGCGCTAAAATGAGACGTAAACTGCCAGATAATTTCATTAAAAATGGAACGTTGGTATTGCTTTTATGCAATGGAACGTTGGTTTTATTCTATGCAAGGGCACCATATGTAATCACACTAAATCATAAGAGGGAGATCGATCTTTGCACCCGAGATCAAAAACAGGTTAATGGGACAGATTCAATAAGGAAATGAATAAGGAAGTAATCTTCGAACGTTAAACAAGGATAGAGAAACATTAATATATGCATATATAAGCGGACACAGAACAAAATGATGAGAAGAAAAGGCCAAGAATAAGGATTTCATTCACAAGAAGCCAGATGCGCTTCAAGGAAAAGATGGGCCCCTCGAAAGTTTGGAAAATTAGCCCGTTTCCATCCATCAGGTGTCATTTTGGTTTTGTCCGCGTGACTGTGCCTCGTTCCCCTTTTGTAATGAGAATGAAAACTGGAGAGATTTTTTGATGTAACTCGTATCTTTAGAGTAAATAGGTGCTCAACATGTAGCCTGTAATATCGATGTTCTCACTAAAAAAGCACAGTCACAAGAGACAGCTAGATGAAGATAAAATATATGTTGAAAAAAACTGCGCCTAGCACTACGTTTCCAACTCCACCTT